GTATAGAATTGGAACTGTGTACTATTATAATGATATATTAACTTTTTGTTGTTGTATTTTTTCACTTTTATGTTAAAGCAATTTTATGTATTTTTTTCCTTTTTTGTAATTAAAAAGTAAATAAAGACTGAAATTTGGATTCATGTTCTTCAAAGGCTGACTTCATTATTTAAAAAAAGGATTTGTGTTAAAAATATTGTTATAGAGAAAATTATGGATAAGCATTCTTACTGTCATTGGGAAGAAATAGTTTATCAGGAAGTAGATTTCCACAGGAAGCAGTTCTAAACAACCTCGCACGAGCATTGCTGACTTTTCTGATCGCCTCTGAATCCACTGGTGGCAAAGGTGGAGAAACACAATGCTCTTCATCATTTGAGGCTGATGACAGCAATTTTGGCTTCTGTTATAAGACAAGATTTAATTTAGCATATAAACAATTCAGCCAAAAGAGTGCAAGTTCCCAATTCCTTAGAGGATTTTCTTACAGAGGTTCTCACTGGGCACCACAGAATTTGAGCCACAACTAAAAAGATTGTATTGAATAAATTAGATACAAATGCATATTAGTCCACTTTATTAACTACAACAGGCAGAGCTGTATATATGCTGCAGTTCCGTTAACAGTGGGTAAAATTCACAAAAAGTGCTAGTGGGCACAGAATTCACTTTTTCAAGAATCTCAGTTTATAAAACAAAATCCTAGCATTTATGAATGCTAGTGATATGGGAAATGCTTGCATAAATCTCAAAATCAGAGAAATAGTAGAATAAGATTTCCAGCGGAAGGTGAGTACCACAGCTCAGGACTTAAGTACTCTGAAACTAGGCCTTCTATTGACAGCAACCCGAAAAATGCAAGAATCAATATTTAGTCCTTCTGAACTGGGGCTACCTATCTTGGCCCTCACACTTGGATCACATAATTAACAAAAGGTGCAGTTGCTCTTTGAACCAAAGGAGTGGAGCTCAGATTTCTCTCCTGAACAAGAGCATTCTCTAGCCTGCTTACCACATCTCCAGCCATCAACACTGGAGAAGCCAATGGCCACAGAAAAAGTATACTATATCTTTTATAGCCAGTTATAGTACCTAAGGGGTCTATTTTGGCTAGGCATGAACTATCTGGTTGCTATAAGCTAGATGGCAACTCTGCAATCTCCTTTGCCCCTCTTGTGATCCGAGTACCCCATGGAATATGGCAGTGGGTTTAAGCATCAACTGCATAATCCCCATAAATTGCAGCTTTTCTTGGTGTCAAGATTTAATTTGGCAAAAGTATACAAGCACTGCCAAAAATAAATACGCACATAGTCCAGCGGGCTGAGGCGTGCACAAGAGACAGGTCTTGACTCAACTGACTCAAAGCTTGAAGAGTGGAGACTGGAATGAAAAACAAATCATAATAATCAATGTGTACACAGCTATTTATATGTTTTTCACCACAAGATTTCCCTCTGTATGTCACTAATAGAGTTGAAATATTTTTACTGCCCAATTGCTTAATTTACCTCAAACCTCTTTCCTGGAATAACATGTAAAAGACAAAAATGCTTTGTTAGAAAGAAAAAACAAAAGTTTTAGTTCTATCTCATGGATTTCTAGCTTATAAATTCAGTGGAAGAATGAATGTTTTTTTTTTTTTGGTCCCTTCTGTGTGTGCTGATGAATAATCACAGTGGTTCGCCATTCATTGACAATGCTTCTCCTATACAAGCAATTTTTTTCAGAATCACAAAATCAACAGAAAAAGAGTTTTAGCCAGTATATTAGAACAGCTTTAGCTTCCCACAAACAAAACCTAATAATAGTTTTGGACTGACATTTTCATTTGAGAAGTTAATAACTTTAAATATTTCTAGAGGATTTATGTCCTGCTATAAGATGTAGACAACTGCATAACTGCTTTTTTTTAATTCTTGAATTGGGAATGATGAGAAATACTCAAGTAAGTTTCAAACCTATATTCAGTATAAACAGGGGTATCTCCCCTTCCATCAAATCCTCATACCTAAAAGCAGAAGGTGGCCTATTTTCAGGTGTTCTTGAAGAGGTGGAACCAAAAAGTTTCCTTCGCTCATCTCTTGGTGTAAATGGTCTCTGAGTTCTTAAAGTCCTTAGTGTACTTCGTGCTTCACTTATGATCTCAGCACTAGTCTTCTGGACAGCTAATGAAGGTTTATAGAATGCTTCTGAATAGTCTAGATTTTTATTCTTTGAGGACTGCATATTGCTGCACAAAAAAAGAAAGGAAATATTAAAAGACAGGATTATTTCCTATGTAAGTTTTTAGAATTCAGATTACACAGTAATGTACATCTAATCCTTGTAGTTCCCAGTATATTGGTCATTAGTCCATGCTGCTTAGCCATCTGTCTGCACTGCAGATTAGCATAATCAGTCTAGTCCATACGCAAGCAAAAACCATACTACAGCAGGATTCTCTAGTATAGTACTTTGATATATACTTTTATGATATATAATATAGCCTCCAACTGTAATGAATATCCTCCAGCAAGAAATTAACAAACACACATAAGACGTATAACCACAATAAACACAGGATCATTTCAGGCAAATTTTAAACACACACAGCTTACAAAACAAGATTGGACCCTGGCAGGTTCACAGTTGGACAAGACAGACAGCCTATTAGTTAGGTATGCCATAAGCTATTCAAAGCTTTAAAGCTTAAGACCAACACTTAGAATTAAGTCTGAAAAACAACTGGCAAATGCAATCAGTGAAGATTCCATATTGGAATAAAAATATCATAATATTATTTATTAATTAGCAAGTATAGCTGCACCAACCGTTGGAATTTTGTTACAATCTCTGGAAGCTCTTCAATAGTACAGCTAACTTCAATAGTCTAAATGTGATCTAATCGAAGTATGGAAAGCTGTTGCCAGATCAGATTCATGTTCACTGGGTTCCCCACTAATCACATATGAACATTAAGGTTTTTTAAAATCTCATTTAAATATCTCTGTGTAGCCTAACTTCAGCTCTTGCTTCTGAAAACTTCTGGGCTTTCACTTTCTATCTCTCTCATTAATGTTTTATGTGATAAGACATATCTTGATTGTTGTTGTTTTATGCCGTGGTAGAACTGGGCCAAGCAGAGCAGAGTTAATAAGATAGAAACACAACAGAAGAATATGTCTTAAAAGTCCAAATAAGAAACAACAGTGAATGGGCATCTAAAGTTTGATAAAAGTCTTATGTAGCAAAGCAGCATGTCATCTTAAGGTCTTCTGAATACTTAATACCCAAAAAATCTTATGGATCACCAACATCTACAGTACCAGAGGTCCAATCAAACCAGCACATCCAGCTCCCTCATCATGTTTTTAAACAAGTTTACAGCCCATCTGAACTGTTCAGAGATACAGTTTTTGAACCTGCAAAAGAACAGCAATTGTTCCAGCTAATACAAAGCTTCTTCTGATACTGCAGCTACAATTATTCTTGCCCTACTTAATGACAAAAAACCCACACAGAAGTGTAAGAAGCACAGAAAATCTTTTTACAAAAATGAAAGATACACAAAAGCTATTCATTGAAAGCTTCTCTGTTACATACTCTTACCGCCAAACATGGTAACTCTCCAAGTCAAAAGAAAACTTCACTAATACTCATAATAAGAACACTTACTCACCTATCAGTTTATATTTTGGTGAGTGATGCAATAATGATATCTTAGCAGGATTTGAAATGATAAAGAGAAAACATCTACTTTCAAAAGAAAGAAAGCAACACTATATGTGCTATCAAACAGAAAATAAACATTGCTGATTAGTTGATTAGTATTACAGTATTACAGTATTACAGTAATACTAATACTAATATTAGTATTACAGTCAAGAATACTAATATTATTTTTCTACTAGAATGAATCACCAATTTAAAAAAAAAATTAAGACCTTGCCAGTACATATATAAATGAAACCTGCTTTAATACATTTATACAATTTAAAGAAACACACCAACTCAGTTACTTTCTACGTTAGTGATCCATTTAGAATATCTGATTTGTTACCTCCATGGCATAAAAACACATGCCAATTTCATTTTCAGTGCAATTTCTGCAGCTCTCCTTCCCAAGCCACTTCTTTTCAAGTACAAACACCGAGCAGAAATATATATCTTACCCCAGAGTAACTGGCTTGTTTTACATATCTGCATTTGATTACTGTACACTTGAGGATCTGTAGCTAAATGTGTGTGAACTGGTTCCATGGGATGCATTGTGTTTGAGTAACATAAAGAAATATTAAAATCTAATTTGTAATATTGCATCTATTCCTATGATTGCTTGCTAATGAATTTATGAAAAAATCTTATTCTACAGTTTTAGTAGAGGATTCAAATATCTTTCCTAAAGTCAAGCACATCATCCTTTCACATAGAAGCTCTATTTCTTTCCTTTTTAGCTCCTCTCATGTAACTGCTCTATTTACTTTGTCTTTGTCCATTACTTCTTTTGTTAGTCTCTGAATTCCTTTGCACCGTATTTAAGCAACTACTTGAATAAAGAATAAGAAACACAGAATAAAAACAAGCTTTCTTGGAATGTTCTAACTTAATTTTTCCAGCTGCACTCAATGGTCAGAAACCCAAGAGGACTTTAGCTGGGAATTTTAAATAGTAACCCTTCATGCAGCAGAGAAGACTATTTTTTATACTCAAGAAATTTTCAGAAGCAGCTTGTAAGTTGGCATCGAAAGGAGCATATATTCTATTTAAACAGAATTCTGACTAGATCTTAGGCATTTGGTATCCTTAAAGAACATCAAGCTAGAAAAATGGAGAACAGTTTAACTCTGATCTTGTCCATGTGCAGGGGCTGCATCCAGGTCAGACTGGCACACACATGCCATGCCCACACAATGCTAGAAAGCCAGTGTGGCGTAGCGATTAAGATACTGGACTGACACCCAGAAACCCAGATTCAAGTCCACCCTCAGCTATGGAAGCTAACCCTTGCACAGTCTCTTTCTTTCTCTCTCTCTCTGACCAACCTACCTCACAGGATTGGGAAAAATGAGAAGAGCTGTGGAGCAGGGAAGAACCGGCAAGAACTTGCACTTTGTCTTACTATCCAACTCTGTGTATTCTCCTCTCCATAGCTAAGAAACCATAGTGCTTTGCCACCATTCCCCATCCTCCTCAGCCATCCTGAAAGACAGCTTTGCCACCTCCCCCCATCCCCCTTAGCTGCTATTTCTTTCACGTTTTCCCTCTCAAATGAAGCAAGGATAATGTCTGTGGGGCAACAGCCAACTCTAGGTTTTGCACCTACCACTGGGTAACTGGAAGAAACATTGGCCGGCAATATGGAAGGACAGAAACACCACACTGAAGATATACATGCAGCAGATGAATCTGCCAGAGAAGGCCAGTGGGGCAAGGCTGGTGGCTATGTGATATGCCCTTTGTTAATGACCTGCTGCCACCTGTATCAAAAGGTTATTGCTAGTATACTGAGTTTAAAAACTCTCCATCTATCCACCTATACATCATATATGTCAAAAATTCTATATATACCAAAGAGCAATTGAGAAGAAGCTCCATTATACACAAAGTGAATTCCTGGTAAATGACCTTTATATGGAGCATAGGCCAAGTTATAATCACTAAGGTATAATCCTAATGTATGAAACTGAACATCAGCAAAATTAAACTTACAGGTAGTCATCGCTTAATGACCACAATAGAGACTGGAAAATTGGGTAAGTGGGGCGATCATTAAGCAAGTCATCATGTGACTGGACCTGATTTTATGACCATTTTTACAACGCCATTAAGCAAATCATGTGGTCATTAAGTGAATCACATGGTCGTTAAGCAAATCCAGGTTCCCCAATCAACATTTTTTGCTGGAATTTGCTCAATGACGTGATTTGCTTAACAACCACTGTAATTTGCTTAACAACCATTGTAAAAAAGGTCACAAATCGCAGTCACATGACCATGAGGGGTGGTGCGATGGTTTGCAACAGTCGTAAGTGCAAGTACAGGTCATAAAGCACTTTTTCCAAGGCCATCATAACTTTGGATCATTGTTAAATGAATGGTCGTTAAGCGAGGACTACCTGTACTTCTTAGCAAACTTACATAAAGTTGTACTATGGATCTATTCTTTCTTTATTGCTTTTAAAGACACATCAGTACAAAAACTAAAACATACAGATTTTTTTTAAAATTATAACACTAAAGAACAAAAACAAAAAAATTTTTGGGAATGTATGTAGGATTTCAACATAGCTAAGAAATGTTGATCAGATTTTAACTAAAAGGTTCTTCAAATATTTTTGCTATTCTGTTATTTTTCAGCCAAAGTAATCTCCCATACTACTTCTTATATGTATATAGTGCCATATACACAGTGGTGCTTAAAAGTTTAGCACCACTGTATATATTTTGAATTTTCAATATTTCTGCATAAATATGACCTAAAGTACGATCTGTTCTCCACACAAGTTCTAAAACTAAAAAAAGAGAACCCAATTAAACAAATGAGTCAAAACTTTATACTTGTTCATTTATTTATTGAGGAAAGTAATACATAAAAACTACTTCTCTAAGACATTCTAAGAGATCCACATGATAAAAATGGTGAAAATATATCACCCCCCACCAAATGTTTTCTATTAAACACTGTAATTTCTGAGCAGCACTGCTAATCAAGCTGGAGCAGGGAAATTCACACTCACAGTTTGTATCCAAAAAAGATAAAAGCATTATTGTTATTTAGTCATTCAATTGCTTTTGATTCTTGTGACTGCATAGAAATCATTTTGCCCGGATTGTCTATCAGTTACCGCTTTTTGAGTTTTTGTAAGCTCAGGCTTGTCTCATCAATGATAGTATCTAGCGACTTTGCCTTCTGCCAGCCACTTTATCAGTCTTCAGTTTTTCCAAACATCAAGTCTTCTCCAATACTCTTGCCTTTTGCATTATTTGTCCAAAATATTTAAACTTTAGCTTCATTATTAGTGCTTCCAGAGAATTGTCTGATTTTGCTTTATCTACTGCTAAATGCTTTGCTCTTCTGCTGTTGCACTGTATTCTCAATTCTTTTCCCCAATACTACATTTTAAAGATTGATGACATTTCTCCCAGCAATTTTGATTCAAATTTTTTCTAGACCAGAATTTCTCATGATATATTCTACATATAAGTTAAATAAATAAGTATACAATCATGAAGCAGTCCTTTCCCAATTTC